TTTGACCATCTTTGTGGCCCTCCTCTGGACTCGCTCCAACAGGTCTGTGTCTTTCCTGCACTGAGGACTCCAGAGCTGGACGTAGTACTCCAGGTGGGGTCTCAGGAGAGCAGAGCAGAGGGGGAGAATCACTTCACTTGACCTGGTGGCCACTCTGCTTCTTTATGTAGCCCAGGATATTGCTGGCTTTCTGGGCTGCAAGCACACGTTGCTGGCTTGTATCCAATTTTTCATCAACCAACACCCCCCAAGTCCTCTGCAGGGCTGCTCTTGGTCCATTCAGAACCCAGATACTGATGATTGCCCTGACCCAGGTGCAGGACCTTGCACTTGGCCTTGTTGAACTTTCTGATAAGGAAAAGAGCCACAAAGATTATGAAGGGAATGGAGCATCTCCCTTATGAGGAAAGGCTGAGGGAGCTGGGTCTCTTTAGCCTGGAAAAGAGGAGACTGAGGGGTGACCTAATCAATGTTTATAAATATGTAAAGGGTGAGTGTCAGGAGGATGGAGCCAGGCTCTTCTCTGTGACATCCAGTGATAGGACAAGGGGCAATGGGTTCAAGCTGGAACATAGGAGGTTCCACTTGAATATGAGAAAAAACTTCTTCACAGGGAGGGTGACAGAGCACTGGAACAGGCTGCCCAGAGAGGTTGTGGAGTCTCCTTCTCTGGAGACATTCAAAGCCCGCCTGGATGCGTTCCTGTGTGATCTGATGTAGGTGTTCCTGCTCCAGCAGGGGGATTGGACTAGATGATCTTTCGAGGTCCCTTCCAATCTCTAATATTCTGTGTTTCTGTGAAAATTGGGTGAAAACATACATCCTGTTTCTGTAGTCTGAGGATCTAGAAGAATAACTTTTGCCTGCTATGAAGTGCAGCAGGTCAGAGCCAAAAGTCTGACTATGATAGGGAAGTGTCCATTTCATAGTGGATGCTGAACAACTCTTGGAATGTTCCATTGCTGAAGGTAGCCCAGTCATCATACTGCTCTGCATCCAGCATAATTTCAGAAAAGGTCTTCTCTATGGAAACTAAACAAACCTTTAAATTTCCAAGAGTACAAATGTGTTCAGTGTAAAGAAAACCATTCTTTACTCATGTGTGTCTGATTGCCTTTTGTTTAAGATAGTTTTGAGAATTCTTGGAAATATATAGCAATTTTACCTTAAGATTGTGCTTGCCTCTCAGAAGCTGGAGGGGGAAAAAACCAAACAACAAACCAAACAAACAAACAAACAAAAAAAGATTGTAGTTTTCTGAAAACCACTAGTGATTAATGTTTAGTTGGCAAAATGTAAATACCTCTTGAATAACAGTACTGTGATTAAGACTTTGAGAAACAAATCTCCTCTCTTCTAAAAGTACAGCTCTTTATAGCTTCATTCAAGGCATGTCATTCTTCTTCTCTGGAAGCTGTCACTTTAAAGTGTGATATCTATGGGAGTGATTAATGCCTTGATATATTTTTAATCTTCTTGCAGTTAATCCTTGCAAAAACCCTACAATGAAAATAATTATAATTATTTTATGGAAAGGATGCAAAGGGGGGAAAAACTTCCCAGATTAGATAGCGTCAAAACAGAACTACACCTTTCTCCTACAGGCCATTAACAATCCAGATAATTCTGATCTCTTCCCTAATGGCAACTTATTACTACCTTAACTGGTCAATGGGTGAGGTTTACAAATAGTCTTTGAGAGAATAAGCAGAACTTCTGTTTCTTCTCTCTCGTAGGTGAGCATCTTAAGTCATGTTTCTGTCTGTCTAGTCCAATTAATCATGAGTTGTTCACTTGCAGAGAGTTTCAGTAGATAGAAGGACGACTCTTTGTCCCTGAATGTTGTCTATTTGGCTGAATAGGAAGTTCTTTGCAGAGTATGTACTGTGTGTGGCTGTGGGTGGTGAGGGTGTTAAATCTGTAAGGTTTGAGAATTGGCATAGGACTACTATCCTCTTGGCTTGAAAGATCTGGCTTTAGAGTTGGAATATTTTAATTTTTTTTTCTTTAAGACTGGCTTTTACAGTGAGGTGCTCAGTTAGTTAGTGTTTGCTCAAATTGGGTCTATTAGGAATCTGATACTTCTGAAAACAGAGTTTGTGTTGTGCCTGATTGATGATCTTGCTGGTATGGAAGCTTTTTTTAACCATCTACAGGTCTGCAGCTTTTGGTGCCTGAACTTGGTGAGCCTGTCAAAAGGCTCTATGGTGCCTGTGAGTGGTTTTTTTTTTTTTTTGTCTTGGATTTAGGCTTGTAATTCTGCATCATTCTGCTTGTGGATTTGGGCCCACTTGCCTTAATGTGTTTCCATTGTTCAGAATGACTTTCTTGCCTGAATGTCATACTGGCCTTGGCATAACCTTTACGGCAAGGAAGCGACAAGTCAAGGAAATCCTCTGTTAGCCATAGTCATACTGCTGCTTCTGCAGTTTTCTTACATAAACAATTGTGATGTGCATTTAGAAAAAAAAGCAACAAAACCTTAATTCAAAGGTGCAAAACCTTACCTCTGATCCTTCAACCTTGATGTAAGCTTTATGTGAACATGCAGTAGCTGAAGAGACTTCCTCGTTAGAATTGTGCATTCGGAGTCCTTTGTGAGGGCAGTATGATCAAGAGAATTTTTGCAGCACCTCTCTGCATGTGAGAGACTTCAGGGTTCTTCAGATCCCTCCGTATGATATTTTCTGTGTGTTTCATTTTGCAGTTTCATTCTTTTTTTGCCATGTTACAAAAGTATGCTTCCTAGAAGGTTGACAGAAGGTCATTTACTCTTACAGAACTGGGATATCAAGCATAGTGTTTCTGGAAATACAGGGATGCCTTTCAGAACTCCCCTTCCCTGATATGGATACTGGGCACACACTATTAACCTATTTTGTTTAGGAAGCTGGTTTCTTGTATGCAATGTAGCTGCACTGTGTTTGCTGCAACAGAAGTAGGAGGGTGGTATTTGTGGTGCAGCTGGCGACTCATTTTTTCATCAATTCCTGCTTCACCAGCTAAGCCCAGATGTTTCCTGCCACTGTATAAACAATATGTTACGTTATTTGTATGGGTTTCTGTAGCCCAGAAAAATAACCAATTGAAAGTATAGCTGAGTAGTACATCACTTGAGAATTCTGTACTGGTAGTTGCCAGATGGTCATCATTCACTGCAAAAAAAAAAAAAAAAAAAAAAGTTTTTCCATTAATGTTGTCATAAATGATACTAAAATCCTAGTCAGAGGGTAAATAACTTGAGTTCAACTTAGTGTTCAACACCATATCCCTTTTTCCCACAGAGAACTTAATCTAATTAACATAAAATCCAGTGTTTTTTCAATTTGGTTGGATTTTATTGCTCATCTGTTCTAATATAAAGCTTCCTTATCTTTTCCCCAGAAGACAACTGAGATTTTATGATACCACCACAGGTATCACAGTGCCCTGCTGCAGTTTGATAGTCTGTCATGGGTTCATTTGAGTTACTCTTTGAATTACTCATCACTCAGGAGTTAAACAGTTCAGTAGGTTTGCCATCCCCTAAAGGGTGGAACAGCAACTGTGTTACTGCATCCTCACTTGTGTCCTCCCTGCTCCTCTTTACTGGGTATGTTTCCTTTTTTCTCTTGCCTGGGATGTGCCTGTAGCAGCATTTTGTGTGTGTTTGTTTGTTTGTTTTTTTTCTGTGACACCTCATCCTCTGCTTGAGATCGATTAGTAATAATCATGATAATGTAGGTGCAAAGCCTGAACCTAGGCAAAGGACTTCATTAGCTGCTACTTGAGACCTGAAGCACAGCTCACAAAAACCGAAGTCACTTCAGAAGCTTTATATACTTATGTTAGTACTGCATAGAGACTACTCCTCCTTCTTCAGACCCAGTGTAATTTGGATCCTTAGTTTAAGCCTTGTCTCATAAAGAGCAATTGCAGAATGATTTTCTGGTGATATTCAGTGTATATTTCCTGTGTTGCTTATTGTTGCAGAGTCCCTTACATAACTGTTCTGTATTAACCTTGTTTACCTTGTTTGTCTTGATGACCTAAAGTTGTCAGCACTGTAGTATAGCCTGGTTTATCATTTGTCATTTTTTCACCTCAGAGTACATTCTCTGTCCTAGTTGAAAGTTAAAAGGAAAATCAGTGTTCTGATAGTCTTTGTGTAATCATTTAAACCCTGAACAGTTTCAGGGGATTTTTTTTTCCTGGTAGAAAATAAATTGGGCAGATGAATCTTTTTGGTAACACAGCAACAGCTGATACGTGTTTGCTGTGCTATTTTATACTGTGGTTTTTCTTCCTTAGAACTCTTTTCTGTACAAACAGCGTAATAAATGAGCTTTGTTTGCTTAGTGAGGCGTTTGGTTATATTGCTTAAGTACCTTTTGTGTCTGCATCACAATATATACATATTTAGAGAGAGAATGCCTGTGCGCACAAGCACTTGCTACCTTTAATGCAGGACTCTTGTGGCACTTCTTTGAACTGGTTCAGCTATTTCCTGTGGTGGCTAGTCTTTTTACTCCTGTCATTTTTCAGTTTCCTCTTTATATGGTTCAGGTCTGCAGGGCTCCTTTCTTGCTCTTGCCATTTTCTTTCAATATCCCTAATAAAACAAGTCCAGAGCTCGGTTTGTTTTCATCTGTGTGTGGTGACAAATCGTAGTTCAGAGAATTCTTGTACATTTTGTTCATGTAATATAGTGTGGTGATAATGATCAGTGTATCTGCTGATAATATTGATCAGATAGTTTCAGGTGTGCACTGGGATAGTCTAGTCCTTTTTTACTCAATTACTGTATTTTCATACTTTTTTTGTAGTCTCATGTAATTGCATCAGAATCCCTCCCATGCTCTTAAACTGTGTTCTAGTCACTTGCTGTGTGTATATATATCCTGTATTTAACTTATTTAGGTAATTTGTGATTAACATATTTAATATTATTTTAAATTCTTTCTGATGATAATAGGAAAAAAATTACCTCGTACTGTTAGATGACACTGTAATGTTCTCTTTGTTCTTATTTTCCAGCTGTATGGGGAAACTTTGTCAATATGAGGTAATGTATATCATTTTTGTATTGAATATCCTTATCTGAAATAAAATTAACTTACCTTTCCCATCAACATGTATTGCTGTATATCAAGTAGGGAGAAAACAGCAGCTCACACTGTTGTCTGGATGGTTGCTAAGCAGCTGATACCATTTTTTAAATACAAGGTGTTCAGTCTCAAAAAGGGTTGTACGTCTGCTGCAAATCTCACCCAGGATCTTACTCACACTTTAGTTTCTGCTTTTCTTTACACAAATTCATCTTCTGAGTTTGGATTTTTCAGGCAAGTTAGTTGATATAGCTGGGCACATAGGCTTGGATTCTGCTTTTCCTCAGCACAGATCTGACCATATCTGAGTGACAATACAGGCTTAAATATTGAGGACCAGCAGATCCTCCTCTGCTTGCCATAATTATGTTTATGTACCTAGAATTAGAAATGTGATTTTGAGAGGTTTGCCTCCTCTACAGTTGGTTGGGAGAGAATCTGATGGTTTAACTGCTAAAAAGCAAAAAAATATCCTGCACTGTCCCCTAGAATTTTTTTCCTGAGAAACAGGAGGGCATAGCATATGCAGGCAAAACATGCAGATTTTCACAGCATTTCTGCTTGCATGCAAATGTTTGTCCTCTGGGAAAATTCACCATGAAGACACAACCTAAAAAGAAGGTGAAGAGAATATGAGGACAGTTTCTGTTCCCTTTAACAAAGTCTTTGTGCATAGAGGACAAAATACTTCACTATGTTTTGCTAGTAAAGAGTTTTGCCTTGCTTAGCAGCACAGCGTAAAGAAAGTTTGAGGAAAAGTAAGAAAAATAATGGATTTTCTGTGGACTCTGATTCACCCAGGACTTACCGTGGGATCTGTTGCTGTCCCAAGCTGTCCACTTTATTCCTCTTGGAGTTTCCCACCCTTGCCCCAAAGAGTGTTCAGCTGTTAGGCAAACAGCTGCTGAGCTGCTGCAGCTTGCAGATGGAGATATCATTTAGATTACCATGTTATCATGACCAGCAAACTCTGGCAGCTTAGCAGCTGTTACGTGATCAGCTGAGTATTTCCAAAGGATGAGAACCTCACAGAGAGGTTTGAGGAGGGTAGGTGGATGTGGGATCCAGCATTTTCAGTCCCTGATAAGCTGTCCTTACAAATTCTGCCATTAGCTGCATCTGACTTCTTACTTGAGATGTCTCTTATAGAGCTATCAAGGGGAGAAACTTTGTTTCTGAAGGTCTGATATTGGTCCTCTGCCAATAAGATTGTCTTTGGTAGGAGGAAGAGCTCATTAAACTGCAGAGTGCCAGTCCTTATGTTCCAGGATTTGTGAATAAACAATAGTAGGAACCTTTTTTGAGGGGACCTTTTAAATACCGTGAGGCGTTTTCCAAATTGTCCTTGCTCATTTAGCAGAGAGGAAAGACTGTATTCCACAGGTTGTTTGCATAGCTTTTTGTAAATTTGTTATTTGTGAAAACATTTGAAAAATATCACAAGAATTACTTAATATTGCTTCTTTGTAGTAAATTTTTGTAGTAAATTCATAGTATGTTAACTGGAGGCTTTTTATTTGCCACTGTTACAAAAAATTGCAATTGGTTTTGAAAAGGTGGTTCAGGGTCTGTGTGTCTCAGTGTAGGAATTTACTACACTTTTTACTGATACAACAAAATGAATTTGGTCAGTAAGATTTTTGCCTCAGTAACCGACTGAACTGACTCTTTTAGTATGAGTGTTTTACAGAGGGATATGAAGGGAATCATTGCTCTGACTTCTGACAGTGTGGCATATGTATATCTGCTTAACAAAGGATCTTCTGTTTTTCTAGGTGTAGTGACTTTGGGTCCCAAGTAAAGGAGCTCTGTTTTATTTGAAAGAACTCCATTTTATGTTGGATACCCATGAATCCTCTAGTATGCAAAAACTTACTAATTTCCCTTTCAGAGGGTTTAAGTGAAAAAAAAAAAAACAACTATGCAAACTTAAGGAAAATTGCATAGACTACATGCAAGAGGTAAAATTTAAAAATACATATTCTACACTTATAGAATTTTGCTGAAAGAATGAATGCAACTCATTGAGATGCTTTACACAATTAGATGCTAAATACACACAGATTTGTGCAAGACACCAACTTCTTCGACAGTACTCTTTTCACAAGTTACCCTGACATCCTTCATTCTTGGCCCCATTTCAAATGACTAACATTTGTGTGAGAAGTCAGTATTACCTATCAGATGGTCACTTAAGACAAGTTTTATTTTAGAGGTTTTTTTCCCTGATATTTTTAAAGGTTCAAAGTCAAAGCTAGATACATGTGCTTTTCTCTCTTTTTGATTGATACTACAGTTACAGTTGTGGCATTAATGGAAAATGTTTTGTTAGCATAGCTGTAGCATACAGTACACAGAAACTCTCAAAGAGACATCTTATGCATTTGCATAGTAAAGCTACACTCAGACATTTCTGTTGACCCACTCTTAGTGCAGTGATTAGACACTTTTCTACAATGAAGTTAATTTTCTCTGTAAAATGAATGTAGTCTTTTTTGTTATTACTCTTTGCTGTGGCCTTGGTTCAGTTTCTGCCAAACTTGATTACAAGACTAGCTGATTTCAGTGGGAATTGGACCATCCAGTTTCATTTGCTCCGAGTATGTTTTAAAAGTAGTATTAACTTGGGATGCTTTGAAGATACTGTTTTAACAGGAAAATCATGTTACAAGTGCAGTGGAGCAACTGTTTCTTAGGTATGAATTATTTTTTTTCCTTTCTTAACAACAGGTCTCTTCAAGAAAATGGGGATCAGAAGGTGGAAAGTAAAATAGAGGAGGTGAGTTTGCTGATAGTTGTAGTCTGTTTTGTCTTGAGGATTCCATTTCACTCATTTCATATTGAAAGGGTGTATGTAAGTTTTTGAACTGTTCTTGTTTGAGTACTCTTGTATGAGTTCCTAACAGATCTGTGACTCGTTTTATTTTTTTCCTCTATACCTTTCTTGAAAGCAATAGCTCTACTGTCTCATTTGCTGCAGACACTGTGGTAGAGCCCTCCTGAGAACTGTTTTTTCTTACTGAGTGAAGGATATACACAAATTCTTTCCTCTGTTGCCCTTAGAAAATGTTAAGTATGTATGTTTCATTAGAAATTTGAAACCTCCCCAAAATACTTTGCTTTGTTCTTAACTAGTGAACAAAGATAGCAGTGTTAGACTTCCATTCTAAAAACAATAAAACAAGGAATTTAGCAGATACAAAAGTCTTTGAGGTCAATACTCCTTACCCCTTGTGTGGGTGTGTGTGACTGCAGTAGTGTAATCTGGTCTGCCTAGTATTCCAACAGGTTTATGTAGGAATCGTTCCTCTCAATACAGTGGGAAGCCCACTGAAATTGCTTAAAATCAGTGGAAAGATTATGTTCTTAATTTATGTCTTATGCATTCCTTTCTCTTTTTTTCTTTTTTCTTTTTTTTTAATTCTGGTAAACGTTGCAACAAGCGTTCTGAAAATCCCAGTTGTTTAAGAATGGTCAAATGCTTGAAATTCAGTGGGTAGATCAGAGTTACTACAAGGTCGGAGAAGTGGAGCATTTCTGTGTCTTGTTCTTAAAGCTTTAGTTGTACAGTGTCTTGAACCATCAGAATAAATATAACTGTTTCAAGAACAATTTGCTGCTCCTGCTGCTGAAAATTGGCAGGGCTGTTAGAAATTTGGGTTCTGTGATAAAGAACCTGAAACTTACGCTGACTCAAATGATTCTCTCTTTTAAAGCAGTGAAAGTGAAAGCAGAAGTTTTGGTAGGTGAACTGTATCTTCTAAAAAAATTTCCTTTTAATATTTTTTAAAAAGCCTAGCTATACCCTCAAATCATGATGTAAAACATATTTTAGATTTTTAAATATGTTTCTTTAAATTCACATACCACATTCTGAGGGAATTATAGCCTTTGCACTGGAGCTAATGCCTCAGTTTCTGTGTCTGTGTACTATTAAGTATGTGTATCTCCTCTCAATTTAAATAGCTGAGGTTTTGCTGACTGTCCTGTTGTGCTGTTGCTCAATGTAGATTTCCTTTGACAACTTCAAACAAGTCATAGAAATAATAACATTGGATGTTCTTATCAACAAGCCTTGAGGGGGTTTGTTTTCAGTGGTAATCTAAGGGATTTCACACTGTACCAGGTGATTTCATTTTTGGTGAAAAAGGTTCAAGGGTGGGTTTTTTTGACATAAAGGATGCTTTAGAGTGCAAGTTTCTTGAAGTATCTTCAGTGAAGCTCTTGATAGGAGACTGCCATGATTTTTGCTCTAAAGTAACTTCCTATATGCATGTTTTGTGATGTGGATTTTGTTCTTCAAAGATTAAATGTTATTCCTTTATTTTAGGCAGTTGCACCTCTAAGGGAGAAAATCAAAGATCTAGAAAAAAGGTATGTCTTTTGCTAAATTTGTGAAGCAGTTAAAAAGCACAATTTCTGTGCTGTAGTGGTCAATTCTGTAGTTGTAGGCTTGAGAAGTGTTTTGTGTATATCCCCAGTACTCTTCGATTTTATCGTAGCTAAGTGAGGATGGGGCCTTGAATGCTGGAAGACATTAATGCTTAAGGTATTCAGGTTGATTAATCCCACTGAAGTAAACTGAGAGTGCTGGATTTTTGTAAAGTTCAAATCCTGTGGAGGAGTTTACTGGTTTGAGTCCAGCTGGTGAAGGGATTACCATGGTTTAGTAAATCCAACCCAGGTATGTGCCAGAACATGTTGGTTTTAACTTTGAGAGACTGAAAATTTGTTTTGCCTCGCATTTCCCACACTTGGGATCAGTTGCTGTGGTTCAGTGATTTGCTTGGGAATCTTAGTCTGTGCATGTGCTTTGGATGAGCCCAACTGACTCGTTCCTCTCAGGATTTGTGAGGGAACGTGTTATCTTGGATTAAACTGGATGATGCAATTGAGGAAAAGCAGACAAGCTTTTTGATGAGCTGCAGGTAATAAGTATGTGCAGTAGCTCCCCAAGCACTTTAAACTGATGTAGTTGTTAAAAAAAAAAAAAATCCAAGCCTGATCCATTTCTCCCTGGCTGCTTGTGTCCACCCTGCAACATCTTTTCCTCACTTTCATGCCAGCAGAACCACTTCAGTGCTGATAGTAAGCTGGATGGGGAAACCAGACATTTCAGCCTCTGCAAATAACTCCCTTGCTTCCCAGCCTGGTTTGTCTTTCCACTTAGATCGGTTCTCCCATCTCAGTGTCCCCATGGACAGATGCTTTTAATGACAAAATGAGATCTGGAATAGGGGTAGGAATTGACAGCTCTGGCAAGGATACTGCTGCTTTTGACAGGGGTACTGTTTCCCAGGTGGCACTGTTAATGTCCCAAGCAAACAGCTAGCTGAGAATGCTGCATTACAAAGGGCCAAGTCTGGACTTACCCAAACAGTACCAGCAAGCCTGGGTGCTTATGTATGGCATCCTGGTAGCTGTGCTCTCTTCCTCTGGAGAGGGGGGCAGAATCCTATTGCTCCTGGCCAGAGGTGTGACTGACACCTGCAGTGTTTTGAGTTCTGTCTTGACAGGGAGCAGTTGCCCCTCCTCCTCCCACCCCTCCTGTGCTGTAAAAAACAAACAAACCTCCCTCCCCCCCAAAAAAAACCCAAACCAAAATTAAAAAAAAAGAATAGAAGAAAAAAGTTGTCAGTTCTGTTTTTTTACAATTGATTTGAAAGATTCAGTGACCTGCCATGTGCAATTCTTTTCAGTGAGAATACTGATCTCATGGCTCATCTCTTAATAGAAGCCTCAACTTCATGGATCAAACTAGGTGATCTATTGGCACCATGAAATAAATTGCAGAGTCCATCACCTGTAGCAGTTGCGTGTGATACTACCATACCAATTATAATGGTTAAATTATAAAGTTTTGATGTTCAGATGAAATTTTTGATGTAATTTCTCTGTTCAGTTGACTTATTTAATCTTTTTGATAGCCCTGTATATTTTCATCTTCATTTGTTGGCAATTCATAGAATCATAGAGTGGCCTGGGTTGAAAAGGACCTTAAAGATCATCTAGTTTCAACCCCCCTGCTGTGGGCAGGGTTGCCAACCACTAGAGCAGGCTGCCCAGGACCCCATCCAGCCTGGCCTTGAATGCCTGCACGGATGGGGCATCCACAGCTTCTCTGGGCAACCTGTTCCTTTGTGGCCCTCCTCTGGACTCATTCCAAGAGCTCCATGTCTTTCTTGTGCTGGGGACCCCAGGCCTGGGCACAGTACTCCAGATGGGGTCTCACAAGAGCAGAGTAGAGGGGGACAATCAGTATTCAGGTGTTTCCTTCTGCCACTCCCAGAGGACCTTTGTGGGAGGGTATCCTGATGGGCTCTTTTTCTTATAATTGTTCTAGTTTTCCAAATGAGCAGTGAGCTGTTGGGTAGAACCATTAAGTTACAACTTCTCCTTGGAGCCATCTACATGCTCTTTTCTTTTTGAGTAGTGTTTGCAGTGTATTGGTGAGTCTTGTTTCAAATGTCTTGCAATGAGGAGAAAGCATCAAGATTTTTTTACTTCTGTATGAGCCTATCTGGGAATTATGCTTTCACAAAATGTGGGTTTATGAGCTCTTATGGCCTATATCAACATATGGGCTCTTATTGTTGAGTTTTTCAAATAGTGTAGCCATTTACCTCTGCTGATTCAACTGCATGTGGGTTGTTGCAATTAATAATTTTTGAATTTTATTTCTATGTAAAGCGACAGTAAATAACTATTCACTGTCAGATGCCTAAAGGCTGATTCTGCTTGCAAAGCTTACTCTCTAGTGTCAGGGGTTTTTTTACCTCATAAGCTGATAAAACCTGAAAGCAAGCTATTGTCATACTTTTAGGAAGCAGGGAAGACAAGAATTCCTTAATGCTAGTCTCATGATGAGATTGTTTAACGGAAGCTAAAGTTGGAAAGTTTTTATTAATAATTTGCACAGCAAAAGCATTGCCATGTAGTCATCAAAGCAAGCATTAGCTCAAGATAAACTCTATGTTGTTGCCAAAAGATGAACATTCAGCTGGATCAGTTTCAGGTGCCTGTCCACTGCCTCTAAGCAAGCACTAGTGCAATGGAAGGAGCAAAAATGGTTATCCTTTTGGCAGTAGCATGGCTCCATACTGGATTAATGTGACCTTAAAATAGTGATCTTAAAAATGGAGGAGACTGACTTTTAGCTTCCAACATATTATTTGGCACTTAAGTTTTTTTTTTAAACTGCATAAACCTCTTGTTATTGTTGGATTTGCCTTTCTCTCACAGGAGGGCTGTCTTACATGTCTGCGTTATACTTATGCACTGCTATTTCTCATTGCTTCAGCTTAAATCAAAGAAATAGGGTTACCATTAGTGACCTACGTAGTGATATAAGGCAAGTGTAGGTAGCTTCTTATTTTGGACTTCCTGCATTGGTAACATTGGAAGATTCTGCTACCATATTTCCACTATCCAGGAAACTGAAAATGGCTTTCACTCTGGTATGAAAAGTTGACACAAGTCCAGAAGCATCTGTACTTTGCCTCTGAAGAATGGGAGATGGTCAGAGTATTTTTCATATTTCAAAGGCAGATATGTGAAAGAAGCAGCAAGGCTGAAACTTACGTAGTTTCTCTTCTTTGTTTTGAAATGTTCTGTAGTTTCACCCAGAAATACCCCCCAGTGAAATTTTTATCAGAAAAGGATCGCAAAAGAATCCTGGTAAGTTGGTTTTTGTTTGGATGTTGTTTTTGGGAAATGAAAAAAAAATCTGTGGAATGTAATCAGTCTTGTAGGATTGATTCAAGACAGAAGCAGGAATAAATTACCTTGGATGTCGTATGTACTGCACAGGGTTTAGAATAGTGCTTCACTTACCTTCTGTTGGTGTTCTCAAACTCAGCATATGGATAATAGACTTGGGCTCTGGTTTGGAGGTTTGGCTTGCTAATGAAGCTACTGTTCTCTGCTTGTTAACATCTCAGGAGTGCATTTCCAAGGGGTCTCTGTGTGTGCTCCCAGATGGCTTAAACTTGCAGAAACTGGGAAACTTTGTAGGCAGAAAACCTTGTGTGACCAAATTGGACAAAATCTAGTTATAAGGCTAGAAAAACACGTGTTCTGCAGCACTGTTAAGAAGGACCAGTTAATTAGATTGAGGAAATGTTCATCTCTATGTTATCTTCTCTGTTGTTTGTGGTGTTTTGAAGCATCACAGGTGTTTTAGGGAGGAAGAGAAGGGCAGATTAAGACAAGTAGTTGTCCAAGGCATTCTTAAACTCAGCGAATTGTGCTGCAACATCAGCTTTCCAGTTTTGTCTACAAATGCATTTGAAGTCAGCTAGCTCTTCTTGAGATGTATAAATAGGGTAGGAACTTCTGCCCCTGTAGTAAAGAGCAAAGTCTGGGATGAACCCTGCTAAGTGCCTAACTTACTGGTGTTCTCTTCTGCTTTGACTTCAATATTTTGAAGAAAAGCACTGAAAAGATGCAAATAAAAATAAATTTTGTTTTTACTGTGTTATCAGACAATAGTCTTTATTGCTGTTGCAAAGCTTCATAAAGAATAAGTGTCATCAAATTAGTTTAGTTTTGCAGTGTTGTTATGTCATTTTTATGACAGTCTGAAGGCGATAGACCTGTAGGGTTCCTTTTCCCTTGTTGAATATGGAAGATACGGTGAGGAGAATACCAGAGAGAGGCTTAATTCTAAAAATTCCTAAACAGTGTATTCATGTGCGCAAGGGTAATAAAGTTACCTTAATGTCATGTTTTATGTGTAAGCGAGAAGATGCTTTCAAGAAAAGTGTCAGTGCAAGCTGTTAAAAGGTTTTGGAGCTCTTAATATTCACTTTCAGAATTTGCCACTGAAAGGTACTGGATATTTTGCTGAAATCAGTTGCTTCAACAGAGATGGCAACTAGTTGGAATAGGAGTGTTTTCTGCTGACCTGGAGGTGAACAGCTTTCTGGTGTCCACATATTTTGTAGAGTTTAAATTACTCAAGAGAGAGCTGGCCAAAAGGATGAGCAAGTTGTTGAGCCGTTTTCTTCTCTGTTGTGATCAGGGGCTAGGTCAGTGTGAACTCAGATTGGCATTCACAACTGCCATGTGGGCAGTTTCATTCTGTTACAATGTTGGTGTCATAATCCTACAGGAAATGATAATCCATGTTCTTCTGAGTAGCTGAAGTCAGCATATAAAGGATTTGTGTAAACCTTGCATGACACTTGGAAATTTCTCAAGAATTGGCAAGCCAAGTGATCTTTGGTACGTGATTTACTAAAATCCATTCTAAATGCTGATTTGTTTTTTTTTCCTTCTGAATGCAGTCTCCAGCTGTAACCTGGAGATAGCCACAGCACTGATGTGTTCAGACAACAGTTCTAGCAATTTTTCTTTTAATTATGCTGCATCTATATGGAGATGATTGCCAGTAGGGGTAGTATTTCGGTTGAGACTACGTACTCTAGCATTTTCATTCAAAAGAGCTCAGGTCTTCATCCTGTTATGCATGATTTATCTATTTGCTTAGTCCTCTGAAGTGACTAGGCCACAGGCTTTCATATGCAAGAGAAGGAATTATTTTAATATTATGGAAGATAGTGTTGACATTGGTTCAATATGTTGTGTGGGTTTTTTCTGAATTGAATATGGTAGACCGATAAAAGCATAAAATAAAAAAATATCATCTCCATATGAGGCATTAGGTGTTTTCAATCTAACTACAGAGAGCAGAAATGCACCCATGTAACAAATAAACTTTTAAGTGCCTTTGGTGGAGGAAATGATCCAGTAATATTTGTGCCCTTTAGTAGACGCTGAAGTTACCAAGCATATTGGCACTACTAAGTAGTTAAATATTTTTATTAATGATGTCTCAATAAAGAATGCCTATTTAAGCCCCTTGTGCTGGTGCTTCAACTCTGATGTGGAAATGATTCACGTACAGTTTATTATTTTGTAAATGAATATGTCATTGTGATTTGCAGGAAGTCATATTTAGAAATGTGAAGTATATTGACCTTGCTTTTATGAGAGATTACAGGAAGGTTATACAGAGAGCTTCAGTGATAAATCATCTTTTCTTTTTTAATGTAGCCTCAAGTAATGCTGAAAAAAATAATTTACACAGTTGTTTACTTTTCCAGGGGAAATTCAGCTCCTTTTCCAAGTAGTTCTTTATCTAATACATATGGAATTGATATGTTAAAGCTAACGTAGATTTATCATAAACACTACTTACAGGTTTAAAATAATTGGAAACTTCTTTCCAGACAAAATTGGTTTGTGCTTTTTTTTTTTTTTTTGCTTGCATGTAGCATAGAAGAGTGCTGTAAGCAGTGCATGGTTAGGTTATGTTTTTTTCCAAAAGGGAGATGTGGAAGAAGATGTTTTCTTTTACTGCACTGAAGACATACTGTGAGCATCAAGTTTGTCTTCTCTGGATTCCTAGAAATGGAAATAGCAGCAGGGGATTTCCTTGGGCCTCAGTTAAAGGAATAGGTTCAGCTCATCTGCAGAAGACTTTTGTCCTGATCACCACAAAAAGGCAAAACCCTTGGAACATTCAGCAAGGGTGCAACTCCCTTCCAAGTCAAGATAGCTTATGTCAGTAGGTTTTCCATGCATGTTATTTTTTCCTTGGTAAAAGTTACTACTCTTCTTCTTTACTTGTTTACATCATTCTGCCAGCAACCTGTTCTTCCCTCTTGTCTGTTCTGGGGCAATGGGAGCCTTGAGATTATTTATTTCTTTCAAAGAGGGCTTCTCATAAATCCTCTTTCAGTTCCTTGACAAACCTGAAGGGAAATCACATATTGAATCTGCTACAAGGAGGCCCTGACAAACCCAGAAGAATACTAAATGGACCAACTAAATGGTTCTTTTATTAACTGGTACTTAAAATGTCTTTGACGCACTGGTGGCCCTGGATTTTTAATAAGAAAAACAAGTTTGAGAAGTGGACATTCAAGTTTTTACAGAAGAAAACAGTTGTAGTTATCTCTTTTCCGTTTCAGTTTTTGATAGCTTTCTTTTTGCCTTTGTGTCTTTCCTAGTTAAAAAAAAAAAAAGAAAATTTATGCTAATCTGTCTTTTTTCAATAGTGGATGGCGGGGGAGTGGACAGGATGAATGTTTAGGCTTTGACTAGTTGAACGTGAAAGAACTTCAGGCATCTACATCCTTCACACAGCACTTTGTCATTGTAGCACACGATCCATTCATTAGATTCCTGCTTGACAATTACACCGTATCCTTTTCTTGTTTGGTTAGCTGAATCACTTTCAAAATGTTAATTTGATCATACAGTCATATAATATAGCTGATGCCCCACAGGGCTTTTACAAGGCCCTTAATTCTTTGAGAGTGGTGATCTGTCATTTCTTTGTGTGTTCTTGAAAACAGTTTATGAAATGCAGAGAAAAAAATTGCTCCTGTAAATATGTCTGTCTGGATGTGTTGCACAACTTGCAGTTCTACTACTTACTGTGTTGACTGCTTCAATATGGAGTTAGTGATTTTTTTGTTTGTTTGTTTGCTGTTAAAGACTGAGGTGCAGAAAGGGAAAAAATAATGAACTTCCTTGCTTCTTCTACATTTGCAATGGAACAAACAAGAGTGCAAGGTTTTAAATATTTTATTTCTGCTTATTTCTTTGCAGTGAAACATCATAAAGTTCTAAGACAGGCAGATGCTGTATGTCAGAGCTAATGATATAGAATAGAACGTTTTCAGTTGGAAGGGACTTGCAACGATCATCTAGTCCAACTGCCTGACCACTTCAGGCCAGAATGATGTGGTATATGGATGCTTTAAAACACAAAAGAAATAATTTTGGTTTTAGCAGATATTTCAAATGAGAGATCTTCAGAGACTTGCTCTCAGCTAAGAATACCCTTCCTTCCTTCCTTCTCTGAAAGGTGAAGGAATCATAGAATGGTTTGGGTTGGAAAGGACCTTCAAGATCATCAAGTTCCAACCCCCCTGCCACGGACGGGGACAGCTTCCACTAGACCAGGCTGCTCAAAGCCTCATCCAACCTGACCTTGAACACCTCCAGGGATGGGGCATCTGCAGCTTCTCTGGGCAGAATTTGTGTTACGTATTTGGAACACCCAACATGTCTTCATTTTAAACCAGACAAAAGCTGGATTTGACATATTTGACATTATAAATCTTACATGAAAATAACCTGGCATTTTGTCATCCTTTTTCTGAGACATGGGAATTGCAGAGAATTCTTCTCTTAGCTTTTTGGTCTTTTTAGGCCTTGCTATCGCATAAAAGGGCACAATCCAATTTGAAGGAAAAAAGGAAAACTATCTAATTTGAAAAAGAGATCTTGTTGATGTGAATGGTTAGCTGAACTTCTAGCCTGACAGTAATGAAACATGTCAAGAATGTTGCTTGAAATTCTTAAAGCTGTAAATATTGGGAAAAAAAATTAGGCATGGAAATGGAGTTGTTTCCCCTGGAGTAAGCAAAGATCTGAAAGCTACTGTTCTCCTTGTCTTCATGTTTGTAGACTTTGTCTGGTGTTTCTGTAAAAAGAAAAAGAAATTTATACCAACTGTCCTAACGCAGATAACTGGAGGAGCAGGGTTTGTGGGTTCTCATCTTACTGACAAACTAATGATGGATGGCCATGAGGTTACAGTTGTGGACAACTTCTTTACGGGCAGGAAAAGAAATGTGGAGCACTGGATTGGTCATGAGAACTTCGAACTGATAAATCATGATGTCGTTGAGCCCCTGTACATTGAAGGTGAGTAGTCTCTGCTTTGGTATCTACACTTTGTTGTGCTTTACCCTCATAAGTATGTATGTCTGTAAAGAAATGAAATTTATGCACTGGCTTCTGGATTGATCTAATACCTGTATGCTTTATTTATCATTAGCCTGTTTTCCTGTGACCAGCATGGCGTGAGAGATTCAGAATGCTTTTGTCTTTGAAATCAGTTCTTCCTTTCTGACTGGACAGGAGGAAGAAAATCTTAAAAACTTCCTAATGTGACTGATTTTACGAGAAGGCAAGATGGCAGTGGGTCAGTCTGTCTGTCCCATCCATTGTCCTTATATCTCTGTGTGCCTGCACAGGCTTACACACACAGTCTGTGGTCTAGATGTGTCATGAACTGAGAAGTTTTAATTCAGGGCTGCAGTTGCCCTGGACGACGTGCATCCTGCAACTGGGTATGTCAGTTGAGAGGAGGTTAAGCTCTTTCAGAGGGCAAGTCAGCTCCCTGTCGTTAGTTGCCTTAAGTGTCTTTGTGGAAAAAATTGCTCCTACTTTAGGTACAAGCATTTCACAGCCTGTAGAATAGGAAAATGGCAGCACTGAATTTCCTCAGTTTGCAACAAAAAAAAACCCAAACCAAAACAAACAAAAAACCCCTAAATAAAGAAGGAAAAAACCACTGCTTTGAAGAAGTAGAAGTGACTCAACATCTAAACTATCATAAACCTCAAACTATGATGCTAAATTGTAAGACAGCATTAACAGCCGTATATGGGATCGTTAGACCCTCTAGAAGATCGGCCCTTTTAGGTTCCGGAACTCTTTTGCTCTGGGTCATATTGATCCAGGTGGTCGCTCTCCCAAGGCCTTCCCCCTCCACCCCAGTCAGCTCTTGATCTGGGATGCTCGGACTGTTATCTCCGTTCCGTGAGTGTGGTTTTGGGACTCTCCCTGATCGGGGATCATTAGCCGGGAACAGGCTGAGCCTTGGTCATTGGGTGGGGGGGCAGTATCACTCTGTATCACTCATTTGTATATTTGTATATAGTATTATTTTCAATATTATTGTAGTTTAGCTATTAAATTGTTCTTATCTCAACCCACGAGTCCTTTTTTTTCCTTTACCCCTTTAATTCTCTCCCCTATCCTCAGATGGGGGGGGAATTGCATGAGTGGGTGGGTGGTTTGGCCCCCAGCCAAGGGGAAAACCCATCACACCCTATATGAGAGAGATATGCATTTATAGACTTCTTTGGGGGTGTATATGTATATAGAGATGCAATGAAAACATTACTCAAATTACGCTACAGTTTTGGTGGGTTTGCTCCATCCCTTTAAAACTTTGTACCAACGTAGTTGTTTCTTTTTTAAACAAAAAAAAATCAGTGGTTGTATTTTTTTTTTTATTCTTGCTGAATTCTAATGGATGGAATTTCACAGGGGAAATCTCTAGCAATTCCATCTTTTGTATTGTTGCTTGTGATTAATTCCTGGAAACACTAGTGAAACAGTCCTGCAAAAACAGTCTAAAATCTCTAGCAATTCCATCTTTTGTATTATTGCTTGTGATTAATTCCTGGAAAGACTAGTGAAACAGTCCTGCAAAAACAGTCTTGTCTGCTCTGACAATGCACTGGTTCAGTTACTGCCTGTTATTTCACTTTGAACTTCTTGTTCCACTGACAGGATAATGGGACTAGGATCTTACTAATTGGCTTCAGGTGCTAGTAGCTTATACCTCATCCAGTTTGGTTTGTCAGCTTTCATAGTCTTTCCCCTATGCTACATGCTTTTTGACTGATTACACTTGAGATAATCTCGGAGAATTATCATCATTGCTAGGATTGTTGCCCAGTTATTAGGCACTAATGAATGTAAATTGAGATCCTTCAGTTACCTCTCCCATGTTCTATGTAGTTATGACACCAATTCCCCATTTTGTACTGACAACAAATTATAACATGTTATTCAGTGGGTAGTTTATTGAATGTCTTCTCATCCTCCAACAGTGTAAATTAAACCTGGTATGGCTAAATGTTAAAATTAAATTAACTTCAATATATTAGTATAGGAACTGATGAAATTTCATTTCAGTGCAGAATTTATAGTCCAACATAGGAAGGGGGGAGGAAAAAGATGAGGCAGTGAGGAATAGTTATTGTAACAGATTTACAAGTTGGCATATGGATCAATACTTCTTTTCTTAGGCAGAGTTTCTCCTTTCTACTTGTAGATAGAAGTTGGAATGACTGAAGTAATGGCAAAAGAAGATTTGTATCTAAAGAATTCCTGTTTATTTGCTGTCCTGTTTAAACAAGGTCATATGAGGTGGTTTGACACTTAAATTCCAGAGAGAGTAATCAGTGCCTTATTTCTGATCTAGAAAGAACAGTGTTTGCACTTTTGATATGGAAAGTGAGTTTAGTCTCAAGATGCGTAGCTTTCACTAGATCTCTTGGTGCATTTTTTTTTTAGCTTCATAGTGATGCCTACGCACAATATGTCCTGTCTGAGTCATTATCTTTGATCTTTGACATGAAGCAGCGCTCAGCATTCTTGGATCTTGATCTAGATTGGCCAGAGACAGTAATAAATTCCCTAAACACACATTTTATTTCTTAGCCCTGTGGTAACTGTAGTTGTAGTGCTGAAATACTTTCTGCTCCTCCTCCACTAGGATTTTGGTTGCTTCTAGCATTTCTAGCTTTCACTTAGGCTTTTTCAAGCAGAAGAACAAATGCCCTGAATTCTTTAATAGAATGAAAGTAGTTTAGGAATCTTGAAAGACAGAAAATAGTAAAACAAAGAAGGAAAAGAAGTCTGAAAAGAAAATTTTCAAAACTTTGCATAATAGTTGTATTAACCCTTTTATCTATTGTAGTTGGGTTAAGTGTTTTTAAAGTATTTGGGATTTTTAAAGATATTTTCATTTTAGCCTAACGCATGTTGAGGTTTAATCCACTAATAAACAGGGGTTTTTTTTGAGAGGAAGACAATTTTCTTTCCTGAAGGGTGGTATATAAAGAAAAGAATCTTTTATTACTCTCTTCTATATTATCAACAAAAGAGTATAGAAATCCATCCTTGCTTGTTTATGCCTCATTCTCTACATTCTTTAAGATTACGAGTTCCCTAAGACGGTTACTGAGGGCACTGTGGCTCATGTTCCTGCAAACCATAGTGTAAAGACACACTGATATTAGTTGGAGAACAAATGAGAATTAATGCTTTTTCTGGTGTTACTGTGATCTGCCCCACTTCAAGGTAATAGATAGAATTGCATTAAAAACTACCAAGTGGAATTTTAGATTAAATAGGTAGGTCAGAAGTAATGTACTTAATTTGCGTAGTGACTTGAGGATTGGTACTGTTTTGTTTAGGCCTGCCTTTGCATTAGAGTTGACTGTGTGTTTGCACTAAAAAAAATAGTTTTCATTTTTTAAGCAAAAAAAATACCAACAAAAAAAACCAAAAAACAGCCCCCCCCAAAAAAACCCCTAAAATACCCCCAAACTGTACACTCTCCCAAATCCCCAAAAAACCAGACACCCCAAAATTAAAGCCAATTTCAAGGTGACATTGTAAGATGCAGTCATACCGCAAACTGGACTCCCAAAAAGGAAGTAATACCTTTTAGTCTTCAGTATTGAGGTCTGGTTATTAACTGCAATTAGGTGTACACACCTTCTTGTTTACAATAGCTACGGCAGTTGAATAAAACTGGAATAAATCAGACAGGTGTGCACAGCCCCTATTCTTCTCCCTCTGGTGTTTCTCCCTACTTCCTCAGCAACATTTGGAAGCCTTAAAACAGTCTTAGAAGGTGATATATACACATTCCCTCTACCCCCAGCCATCTCTTGCATCTGAAAAATGTCCTTCTCAGCTGAACTGTTTCACAGTTCGTATGAACACATTTAGGTCTTTGGTTGCTTTGTGGTTTTTTTGTGGGGTTTTTTGTTTATTTTGTTTTACCACGCCTTTCACAAATTTGAAACAAAAACAGGCCTGAAAATGGCACGGATTTCCAATCAACAGTGGAAACAGTTGACTTAGTTGAACTGATTTCATTTCCCCAATCACAAATGCACAATGTTTTGAATGCTTTATCATTACATAAAAAATGATGTAGCTTAAAGATCCTCTTCCCTTGGAAAGGTGTTCACAGTAGTCCTCAAAGGTTATAATTTTAGTCATAAGGCTTCACTTAGAGATGTTTTTTCTTTTTCTTTACAACTTAATTAGATTGCACTACCCACTTTGGTTTTGAACCGAAGGAGCACAGTTGCAGAGCAGGAATTTTGTTGGTGGGCTCCAGCATTTCACTGCTTGAACAGGAGCTCTTGGTAAAATATCAGTAAATATATCAGTACAATACTTCTAAAATTGCAGTGCGTGGCAGCTGAAGGCAAATAGGTTATTTCTTTTTGGACAAAGTAGTGAAGGCTAGTTCCATTCTGACATTCAAAGACAGACTTTTTAAAACAAGTGCAAGTGCACTGCCTAACTAGTGTAATATGAAGTGACAGAGGAAAAAAGTGTTCGTAAGTGGTAGGTAAGGATGTATTTCATCACTTGTGTCCTGAGATTAATTGAAATAATTTATGTGAAGATCGGTTAAACAGACCTGTTTGGGTTTGGCCTTGGGTTTTTGTGGTGTGGTGGGGTTTTTTTTATTATTATTCTTAATACAAGCAGTCGTGTTTCTGACAAAACATTTCTTAAATGTTGGCTCTGTTTTCAGTGACTTGTGAATGCAAAGGTAGTTTGGGCTCTTCTGACTTTCACTGAAAGTCTTTCAAAATGATAGAATAAAAACACATTTTGAAAGTTGAGAGAAGTGCTTTAAGTATGCAACACATGTAGTGACAAGGAGATTGGCTTTTAGAGTTTTCAGAAGGTATGAAGTTGTTAGTAACAGGCATATAGGTATATAAAATAACATTATTTATAGAACTTTATCAGATCATTGTATTGACTGGGACTAAAAATGCTTTTATTCTTAAGGACTTTGCTGACTTGTGGGT